TTAGATACTGACAGACAGATGAATAAGGAGGTCAAGACATTCCAGCAACAGATGGTTACATGGAGCTATACAAAAGATGTGAAATCAGAGAGGGTCTTACTTCACTGTGGGTGGGAGTCTCTTAAGTTGCCAGCTCCCCTGACACAGCTAAAAACAGATGTAGTTAGGAGATACACCAGTTCTCAGGTGGCATCCAGTGATGTTAGTGAAAGCCACAGAACATAAGACAAAAGCCCTTAGCAGGCGTGTTCCATGTGAGCCCAGCAATGGCTCCTGAGGTTGAGCCCTGTGTTTTATAACTGCTAGTATTTGCTATGCTAATCCCAAAGCACACAAAAGAAGAGGTCCTGCCATAGGGAGACCAACTGCCACACTACTGTGAAGCCATGAGAGAAACAGTAATGACAATATAATATATTAATATAATATAATAATCAGAATATAATAACAATAACCTAAGAACAGGAGCCTCCTGTGGCACGCTTGTGCAGCTCCCTGGGAAAGCCACCTGCTCTGATTGCCTGGCAGAGCTCACTTGGTCTGGGATAAAAGTGAGAGCTTATGAGAGACCATCTCAGAGTGAGTAGAGAGCTAGAAGACGGCCAGACAAAGCTCAGAGGCAGCAAGCTCCCTCACCCACTGGTTGCATGACCTCCAGATGTCCCCTTTCACTAAAACAGCCAGCCAAGCCTCCCTTTCAGGCTGCCTAGGGCTACCTGAGTGTCTGTGTGTGCCTGGCAAGGGCATTCCCTGTGGCCAGTACCATCAGAGCTGCTGCTACCATTGTCTGGGAATAAGGAAGCTGTTCAAAGGCCAGCAACACATTTTTGGGTCTTCTTTCCCTTTCTCCTGCCCCCAGCAGAGCCCCGTGTGTGTGAACACAACCTCAATCACAGCAAGCTCAGGACCCACACAGCCAGCAAACTCCGCTCTACTCACTTTGTCTGCTTATAAAGTTGATGTGTCTGCTGTTGGGAGCTCCCCCCAAACACTCTTTTGGAATGAGGCTGATAAGCAAATATGTCAGACTAGGTGGACTTTCTGACAGGTGGAGATTTTAAACCTGGTCCCTTGCCCACAGCATCGAAGCCTCCTGATCCTCACTTCAGCCCAGCAGTCAGGCACTGGCACACACCCACTGACAGTCAATTGTTTGTGGGCTGAGTCCTGGGAAGAATGCATGAAGCCCTGGGCTCCAACCCCAGAACCACATGGAACACGGTAGTACATACATGTAATCACAACACTCTAGGCAGTAGGAGTTCAATCCTCACCCCTCCCCCACTCCCCCAAAAAGAACAGTCTCTCCTTCGACATCAGAACAAGCGTAAGTGTGTGTCTGTGTCTCCTCCTCACGTGCAGTGGCACAGGCCAACCCTAATAGAAACAATGAGGTAGGTGGGAAAAGACACACCACCAAGAAACAGACCACAAAAAAAAAAAAAAAAAAAAAAAAAAGGAAAAAAAAACGTAGAAAAAAAAAAGGCAAAA